TAATTGAAAGGAGCTGTATCTTGGCCAAAAGACCTCAAAGGCATTTATAGTGACCTAGATGAGAAAACATGGTGACCACAAAGTGTGTCATAATGGCTTGTAATCCATGCTGTGCTAAATGGTTCAAAGATAGGAGACAGGGCAAGAATAAAACATTCAGTTCTTAAGAATCAACTACCCCTGGGACTGATATTCTGATCTGTTTGGTCAACTCTCCAAAGGATCTAGAAGCAGTAAAGTGATGACATTAGCTGATGATTCAGTTACTTGGGTTAATCAAGGCAAAGGGGACAGACGGGGCCAATTAAGTAGCTGGGCAGCCCAATGATAGATGAATCATTATGGGCAAGTGCAAAGATAATGCCATTGGGAAAAGCAATTTAAGTCATTCATGCACTTCCAGGCCAGGAAATCCTTCTAGTCTTTGAGGGGGATCATTTAAGAATCATCAGACCCAGCCTGATGAAGTCATCTATTCATTGTGCAACTAACGATCAACAAAAGAGCTGAATGCACCAGGGGACAGGCCATATGGAATACATTTGGGTGGCTGGGATGTATATCTGTGCCTTCATTTCAGTCACCTTCTCTAAAACACGTCTTACTTCATCCCTCTTTCCTTTTTCTTTCCTGTCCACAATCACCCCCTGCTTTTCATGTTCTAATACACAGAGTCGATGTATGGATGAAATTTTTAAATATAAAGACAAATATTCTCATTCCTAATTTCTAGTTCTTTTCTTTACATAGGTTTCTCCCTGTACACGTAACTAGTTTCCAAGGGATGCTCAGCATGTCACAAAACAACTTTTTTAAGCACCAAGGAGGTTATGTCTATAAAATTTATACAAATTTTTCTATACTTATCTTAACCCCTTGCTAGAATTAAAGTTTCAAGTCTGGAACTTTGGGAAAGAAAGCTTATCATTTGTGTGTGTGTGTGTGGGGGGGGGATAAGGTGAGTGGGAAAATAGAAACATATATTAAAGTAAATCATACTTGCAACTACTTGTTTTTTAAAAACCAACATCTCAATCTGGAACTTGAAAGTAAAGGTTATCAAATATGGTCATGTTGATAAAGCCCATGAACACTACTTTATCTCTTGATTTATCTTCTCCCTCCTCAATTGCTATTTATCTAGCTTTTAAGTTCATCCTTCTCTTCCCAACCATTAAATGTTGTGTTTTTCAATCTCTGTACTTTTTTTAGACTATCTACCCAGAGTTTCAGCCTTATCATACCTTGTTCTCAACCACTCTTTTCTACAAACTGTAGGACTATTGCACCTGTTCTGTTTCCTGTGCCTAAAATGCTCTCCCCTGTTTGATGTTTTGTTTTGTTTTTATTTGTTTGTTTTTGTTTTTTGTTTGTGGATGGTTTTCTTTTCTTTTACCAGGTTAACATTTGTTCATCCTTCAGATCTAAGCTCACTTATTATGTATTGGCTTCCTCAGACTTGGTACAATCTGACATGGGTTCCCATAATATCAGATAACATTTTTTACAGGACTCATCAGAGCTACAATTTTACATCCATTTATGATGATTTGATTGTCTGTCTCCCACTAGATTATAAACTCTTCCCTCTTCCTGTTTCTTTTTTACTGTTTCTACTAACTTTTCCCTGCCCACTTCTCTTCTTCATGGTTTTTCATAGCTCTTACTTATCAATGGTTTCCTCTATCTTATAGATTCTGATAATAAGCTTTTCTCTCTCTGTCTGTCAATATCTAGTCTTACTACCAATTGTTGGTTCCCTCTAAATTTTTCACATTCACACTTTACGGAGTAAGAGGATTTTATTGGTATAATTGATATTTGTTATCTCTATGGGAAAGTTCCTGTGATAGACCAATTCATGGATCCTGGCCCAATATCCAAATGTACTGCCCTCGGATCAAGGATGTCTTGCATCCATTAGCTGTGGCCAGCCTGATGGGGCTAAGAGGTCAGCTTTCCTGAGGAAGTACAATAAGCCAGATGCTTTCTCTTTTTTATAATGACATGCTTACTGAGAGCTGGCAGACTTGGGAAGGTATCTTCCTTGAGAACTGGGAATGGGTGAAAGATAATAACAGAAAACAAGAAGGGACAATTGGAGTATTCAACATCATTATCCTTAGTTGGTGTAGCACTCAATTAAATCTTCATTACTCGACATTTATTGTTAACTCACTGAAAATGTCACAGAGGTCAGGTAGATGTGGGTCTGATGAGCAAAGAAAAATTCTGAAAAGAAGATCTGATGTATTTGGGGAGTGATAGAGCCTAATTTAAAAATGCTATATGTTTGGATAAAGAAAATGCCATTTTGGGGCTGTCTACTTTTGGTTCACCATGACTTTTCAGAATTAGCCTTTCAGGTCCCTGATCCAAAGTGAAGGGGGTCTGCCAGCTCTTTTCTGTGGTAGGGTCCAGACTTGATATCCTACCTCAGCCCTTACAACATGAACCTGTCTAGAGCTTCAACCTTTCAACTGCCTCTGCTGAAAAAAAATGGTAGAACAGTGATCCTAACAGCTGGCAGAGATAAATTTTATTGAGCTTCAGGAAAAGAGATGGCTACCATTCATTATCTAGCCAGACATTATTCATTGCTGCTCTTGGGAGAGTATCATATTATAGGGGTTATCAATACAGAATCCAGAACCCAATTACCTGGGTTTAAATTCTGATTCTGCTGCCTACTAACTGTATGAACTTGGGTAAGTTACTTGGTTTCCTCATGTATAACATGAGATTATAACATCTATAACAATAGAGTTTTTAAAGGACTAAATACATTATTAAATATCAAGTGCTTGTAACAGTAGTGATATTACATATTTGTGAGCTACAATTACTGTTGTTGATATTATTTTTTTTATTTTTTTTAATATACTTTATTGATTTTTTACAGAGAGGAAGGGAGAAGGATAGAGTGTTAGAAACATCGATGATGAGAGAGAAACATCGATCAGTTGCCTCCCGCACACCTCCTGCTGGGGATGTGCCTGCAACCAAGGTACATGACCTTGACCAGAATTGAACCCGGGACCCTTCAGTCCACAGGCCGATGCTCTATCCACTGAGCCAAACCGGTTAGGGCTGTTGTTGATATTATTATTATTATCCTTTAGAGCAGGGGTGGGCAAACTTTTTGACTCGAGGGCCACAATGGGTTCTTAAACTGGACCGGAGGGCCGGAACAAAAGTATGGATGGAGTGTTTGTATGAACTAATATAAATTCAAAGTAAACATCATTACATAAAAGGGTACGGTCTTTTTTTTTTTTTAGTTTTATTCATTTCAAACGGGCCAAATCCAGCCCGCGGGCCGTAGTTTGCCCACGGCTGCTTTAGAGGTAACCTCATCCAATTAGTGGCCTACCTATATTTCTCAGGACACATTTGGTTATAGGTGTTAGAAATTCAGCTCAAAGTAACTTAAGAAAAATAAATGTATTGATTCACACAACAGAGCCAGTCCAGGGAATGGACTCACTCAGGCATGAATAAACCCAAGAGTTTCGATGATGCTACCAGGCCTCTTGCAGACTTGTATCTTAACTTTCTTCTGGGTCAGCATCATTTTCAAGCCGGTTTCCTCCATACGGTGACAGATGTAGCTTGAGACTAACCTAACTCTTACACTTCTTCCTCAGTGGATCTGAAAGACTCTGATAGGCCCGGGTTGTATTCCATCATGAACCAATAATCAGGAAAATGGGAAGGTAGGGTGAACTCTACCTGAATTCACATCATGGTCCCCTGGAGGAAGGATGTTGAGCAGGAGATGTCCACTGCTTAACCCATTGCCAAGGCACAATCTAAGGAGGAACTAGAGGGCATGTTTACTAAATATTTTACCCATTTTACATCTAGAGAACTAAAGACAACCAGGGCTGATGTTCAAATTATTGAATAACTGGTAGAGCAGCAGCTCTGATCAGTTTGAATGGACAGCTGAACGGAGGTCAGCAGTAGCAGCACATTCCTGCTGAGTAGCAACCTGGCATCAAATGTGAACATTGGACTGATTTCTGGGGGGAGTTAAACACTCAGTCCTTTTCAACCTTCCTATTGAAGATTTACTGACGAGTTGTGGTCGATTTACTGACTTTCCTGATTAGAGACAGGACTGAAGTAGACAAATGTCTTCAGAACTCCTTGTGCTCTTTAATTCCATGGTTGTCTCATGTGTGTAACCTCCCCACTGGACACATGCTGAGGACAGAAGATAAACTTTAGAGCAAAAGCACCAATAACCTGGAAATGGACACACGTACCTTGGCTTGACCTTCTGCTTGGAGTCAACACTGTCATTTTTTTCTGCTTGGGGAAAGCAGAGGTCTCCCTCTTCCCTTCCCTCTATTACGCTACCATCATCAAATACCTTACAAAATAGTCCTGGTTTCCGCTGGACCTGTCTTGTGTAGGAAAGTGCTACCCCTTCAAACTCAGGTTGGGTGACATGTTCTTTAATTAGAGACTTAGATGAGGGGCAATTTAATGGACCAGCTCAGCTTGGTTTAAAAGCCTCTACCAACAACTGGTGTGATAATACGTGTGTGTGTTTGTGTGTGTATGAGAGAGAGAGAGTGAGAGAGATTCCTTATGTCACTCCTTCTCTTAAGTTAATGTTTTTAAAGCAGTTACTGCAGAGTTCATACACAATGGGTACCTAGTAAATGATAATTCATCTCATTCCTTCTTGCTAGAAACTTCCCCACCACCCCACCCCACCCCACTGCAATTCTACAGCCTAGCCTACCTGGATGCTAGCAATACCTGGAAGCACCATTGCCCCTAGATCCTATCTTCCAGGCTCAGGGCAGTTCTCAGGCATTAGTGCCCACACCTACTTACCAGGAGATACGTTCCCACCCTACTTCCACCTCCTCCCAACTAACGCTGCAGGCCTGCGGAAAGACTTTGGAATGCTTGCCAAGCCCATCTGACCTTTGCTTCCCTCTTCCTGGTGGTAATTGATGGATTTCATGCCTGTCTCCTTTCAGGGCTAAAGAGAGTACAGCAACTTGCAAAAAACACAAGATACTTCAGACAGAGACTGAACGAAATGGGATTCATTATCTATGGCAATGAGGAATCTCCTGTGGTCCCCCTGCTCCTTTACATGCCTGGTAAAGTAGCGTGAGTATCCAACAGACTCTCGGAGTAATGCTTAAGCCCCAAGGTGATCTGACTAAGATGGTGCTTTTGACACTGAGGCTCTTGCAGTGTAGGCCTTGACCGTGTGCTTTTGACAGGTGCTGAGTTCGGATTTCACTTGTGGAGCTGCTCAGAAGCCACATGGCCTATCAGCAGGGTCTTTTCACAATTGCTAAGGTCCACCATTTCCAAGTTCTGTGAATTTAGGGGAATCACCTACCCCTCCTAAGGCTCAACAGTAAATCAAGGATGATCCTGAGCCACCTCCTACCCTAAGATCTTTCTCAAAGAGAAATTCTGAAGACCTTTTCTCCTAATATTTAAAACAACATGACCAGGTTCTGTGCTTTCTCCCATTGAACACTTGCCATCCTCAGAAGAAGGCAGCCTTGCTTTAAGGCTGCCTTAAAGGTAAACTGAGGTTGAGAGCAGGTAAACAGCTTGCTCAATGTCATACTTGTCAAGCAGTAGTAAAACCAAGGGGCCATCCAAACCTAGGCTTGCTCCAATGCTCATGATCTTAACACCAAATTTTAATGCCTCTCCTGTGAGCTTAGTTGGAGTTGTTTTCCATTGATCCTTTGTGATGGGTAGGAATGAGTTAATAGATTGATTCTTCAGAGTATGCTTTTGTGTCACTTTACCACAGCAAAATTCCAAACAGTTAAACCTTTGTGTGAGTTGTTTAGTGTGCCACAGATTACAGATCTGGGTCAGGATTGCATTGCCTGGAGTGGCAAGAAGACAGTGTGCTACGGAAAGGTCACCCGGGATACTGCTCTGTGCTAATGGCAGGGAGGGGTGACAATGGTGATTCAAAGTAGCAGATAATCCAAAGCCCTTTACCCTCTGATTTTAGAGAGCACAAAAGAAAACTTACCTTTATTCAGAGTTGTTGGGGAAATGGTGTTTTCTGGAAGATTCTATATTGAGTTCATGTCAACCTAATATTTTATCCTTAACTCAAATGAAGATATCAAATATCAACTTACTTTATTTTTGAGAGTGTGATGTGCACAACACTGGCAGGTGACAGAAGGGGGTGTGCTGGACAGTTCCAACGTTGATGATAAAAGCCATAATAAAAATCTCAAAGGTTGGGAAACGGATCAATCCAATGAGAAGATTCCATGAAGAGTAAAAGCAAATTCATTTAAATTCAAGAACTCAACTCTACCATAACAGAAAGAGAGTGTCTGCTCCTTTAAGTGCCAGGAGGCCTGACTGGACACAGTAAATGTGGAATTAAAAATAGAACTAAGAGGAGCTTTATGTAAAAGTTATGCACTATGGTGTAGTGAGATATTTGGAAAAAGAATTTTGACTCTGCCTCTTCCTAACCGGGGAAACCTTGGACAAAGTTACCCAACCTTCTGAAGCCGCAGTTTTTTCATTTTTGAAATGAGATATAATAGTACCTATTTCATAAGGCCATTGTGAAGGTTAAACAAGATGAGGTCTGTCGGCATTTGGCATTGCCTCTTATGTAGAAGCTACTCAGTGTTAACTATTATTATTAATAGTATTAATAATATGTATAAAGCACTCGATATAGTGTTTAGTGTACTGTAAGCACTCAGTCCGTGGTAACCATTATTATTACTACTACTACTTCTAATTCTGTTACAATGATGATGATTACTAGTTTTAACTGAATGCAAGATTGAGTTACCATGGTTGCATGGCTCTCCAAAACTTTAGTTACATTAATAAAAATAGAACTTCTGGGGAAAATAGTAGGTAAAGATATTGTGATACCCTGCATCAATTATGCTATCTTAAACAATGGATGATATGTCAAACTCTCTAGTGTCTTCCAGTTTAAGATGGTTTTTAATGAGGAGCTAATGTTGCTAAATGCCAGTGATGTGCTCCTAAGGCTCTTAGACCCAGTGGTCATCCATTGAGGGTAGGACGCTTAGCCCTGGTCTACAAATGAGGACACCAAGACTCACAAAAGTCAAACTGTTTCCTAAGGGCCACTCAGGTTGTAGGTAGTAGAGCATAGAATTCAAAGCCAATTCCATTGGCCTCCTACACCAGAGCTCTTTTCGGTGAATAGCATAGCCTGTCAAGCTTTAGTCCATTGGGAAAAAGGCACATCTCACTAAAGCAATGCAGGGTATGAGTTCAGCCTTCTTTAATGTCATCTTTGGTGAATCCAAAGGCATCAGTCGTTACAATGGAAACAGAAACTCAACTTGTTTGGTTGTCTAAGGAAACTTAGAATAGGTTAGTTACAAAAGGTCATATCATCTATTGCTAGCAGGAATTGCTAGCAAGAGTTTGCCCTGCTGCCTGGCCTGATTTCTATCTCTGCTATTTCTTCAATCATAAGTTTATAGGTAGATCATGAGATAGGAGTTAATTGTATGGTATAAGCCAGTGTGTTAGCACTTCTTTCATTGGCTCATTTTAAAATCTTTGATTTCATTTAAAAACTGCAGAATGAAAATATAATCTCCAGCCAGTTGAACTTTTGAAAAGAGTCCTTTTGCAACTCTACCACTGGGATCTTCTAAAAAGTTCAATAGAATGTGATTGCACTTATAAAAAATGCACTTAAGTACTCAAGAATCCATAGTAGTTACTATTTGGTACAGGGCTTATGTTTTCCTTTTATGGCCCTTGTCACACAGGTAGAAGATGATGGGACACAAGATGCCCTGATGCTGCAGGCAACACATGCTAATATTTTTTATTATTATTATTATTATTATTATTATTATTATTATTATTATTACATAATTTCATTTCTTTCAGCCTACGCCAGCTCTGATTTCCTTTGGGGAGTACAAACCCGGAGTCTCATTATAGAAAATGTTCCAGGCAATTATATGCATTAACTGAAAGAGGTGGAGTTTAGAAGTGTAAGTTTTAAGCTCAAAAGTGCTCCAGGGAGGCCTCGGATTAGCCTAATGAATCAACAGTCATAGAGTTTGCTCTACATTCTTTGGCAAAACTCGCTTCCTCTGGTACAAAGAGAAACTCACAGACAGTGAAAACGCTCCTTTGGGAGTCCCGACAACTGGCCTGAGATCATGGGTCAGGTGGTTTGTACTCCAGCAATAAAAGCACTTGACTTGTTTCTCAGACAATTATGAGCTCTCAGCCTGTGTAGTTCCGTGGGCAGCCTTCCATAGGGTGATCAAGAAGCAGAAAGAACAGCCTCTGTTTTCAAGTTTTCTCAGTTAGAAAGCTTCATCTCCTGTAACCTTCCCAGGCCAAATCAAAGGGCAGATCTGGCCTTATCCCAGCCAGGGGGCCAGGGAGGCTGTGTGTCCAGTAGGTCTTATAATCTCCATCGCTTCGTTTGATAACCTGCATGAGGCAACCGAAAGGCAGACAGCCTAAGGGCGAGAGGAACGAATAAATGAGCAGGCTTGCTCTCAGCCTGGTTCAAGAATTCTTCCTAAGTTATGACTGGAGGGTTTCTGTGATGCTGTCACAGAATAAGACACCAGCAACTTCTTAATGCTAAGAACAGATCTGAGACATTTGCCTCACTCAGTAAGAGGGATAGATTCACTTGGGGCATGTCTTTTTGTCTGACCTTGGCTCTGACAGAAAAAATTTACAGAATATGACAGCCTGATATTCTAGAATTGTTACTGAGATTAGCTCTGGAGAAGAAAGAGACGAGAAGCAGTAAAGGGGAAGGAATTGTAACTTTAAGAGGTTTTGCCCTGCATTAGGAAGCTTTGCAGTTGTGAGACTATTGTCCTACAACCAGCCAGCCTCCCTGTGCGTGTACATTTCTTTCCCTGTCTCCCTCCTGTCCCACTTCCCTTTTAACCAGTTAATGAATTTATTCTCCCTGGACTCCTCATTCACACATAAAGAAATGAGGAGACCCTTGCTATTTTCTGGTTTAATAAAAAATAAAATATTTGGCTCCGGAGTAAGAATATGGCTTGGGGTTGGCTCCTGCAGACCTTCTGACTTTGGTCTTCAAATTACAGTCATTAAGTACAGTTTTCTTGAAATTTTCATACTATATCATTAGCATTATGTTTTTAAAACATATAGGTGTGGATTTAATATAGAGAGTGTCCCAAAAATGCATACATACACTTTGAATAGTTATAAAGGCAATGTTTATTAAAATACATTTCATTTTTCAAAATTGAGCTATCAGCTGTTACAGTGTGTATACATTTTTTGGCGGGGGACAACATCATGTATATTCTTTCTTTATGTAATTGCACTGTGTTAGCTGTTTGGTTTTTATTCCTAGGAATCCTGCAGACAAAAGATTTAACATCAGTCAGACTTGTTAAATCAAGGTTATGTCCATCAGCATTTTCTGCACAATGTCAGAGACTCAGTACTTAAGATTACTCAATGAGTGTGCCAGGATCCATAATATACACACTCTGGTGCCATCAAGTGACTGTCCCATCTCTTTGTGAATTGTGTTTGACAGATGCTTAATAACTTCAATCATCTTCTATTAATTGGGTTTTTTTTTTTAAGAAAAAGTCAATTAGTCATATTCTCTCTTTTTTGTATAGTATGATGTTGTCATCTCCCAGTAAACTTCCTTTTTTGTCTTTTCTTTAGGGCCTTTGCAAGGCACCTACTAAACAGAAAGATTGGGGTAGTGGTCGTTGGATTTCCAGCTACTCCCCTAGCGGAAGCTAGGGCACGATTCTGCATTTCAGCAGCACATACCCGAGAGATGTTAGACACGGTGAGTACAGCACAGGCCAGGGAATCTCCAGTACCAGTACCTTGGATTCTGAGCATGTTCTTTTATTGAACTAGCTAAGGGTTCCCTGGGCCTCTCTTGGGAAATTTAGGAAAATAGCACTAATAATGCTCACTGCTAAAAACAAGGGTATGCCAACACTGTCCAACAATGTGATCAACTCAGTAGACAGGAAGAAAAAAATCAGTTTAGTGAAGACCTGAGTCAAGTCAGTGTTTTGGTTTTTATAGAAAAGACTGACTGAGTAGCCAAATGTTGTGCTATTTACACTAGTTCTAAATGCAAAAGCTAATCTAACATGCTTTTTCAGCATCATCTGCCTGCATCACAACATTTTTCATAGCCACCAAATTCATCATAATAACATATAACCCAACTAGGCAACATGTTGGAAAACTAATAACAAAGGCAGCTATTTGCAGGAAGTATTAATGATTTTAAAACCACATTTCATTGTCTTTTGATTTAAATCTTTATGTGGATGAATAATATCAGAGAACTAAGCCATCTCAGTTTGGAGTTGATAGAACATTCTTATAATGTCAATTCAATTTAGCAAACTATTGAGTGTCTACTATGTGAAAAATCCTGAAGTAAAAAGTCTGAGAGGAGACAATAAAAAATAAGCAACTAATGATAATACTAGATAGAATAAGTTCATCTTGGAAAGGAAATTTATATGATTGCAGGAACATGAAGGTAGAAACTTTATCTTTTTCTTCCACAAGTTTACCTGTAAGTCATTAAACTTTAAAATAAAGCTAAAGGGTAGCATGGTCAGATACTTTTATTATTTTCTTCATACCACCAAAATAAGTGACACATTCATTATGTGGAGTTAGACAAAGAATATGAAATAAAGTGAATTAGCACCTAACATTCCTCTAGGGATGCCTTATACACCATACCTTAATGATTTGGATTTTTGGATTTTTCTTCTTTTCTTTAAAATCAAAGAAGCTGGAAAAAGAAGAGTGTAGCTCTCTGTGAGGCACTGGAGAGCAGAGCCACTTGGAGGTTCAAAGATGACTAATGGAAGGTGATCTCTTTACAGGTCTTGGAAGCCCTAGATGAGATGGGTGATCTCCTGCACCTGAAATATTCCCGGAACAAGAAGTCAGCACGCCCCGAACTCTATGATGAAACAAGCTTTGAACTTGATGATTAAGTTTCCAGGTCCTGATTGGCACCTAAAGACTTTGCCAGCAAAATTCTCTCTTTGCCTCAAAAAGAATATAAGTGCATTTCTCTCCATTTCTAAGGACAATTGGTTTTCAAACCAGCTTAGTCGAACTGAGGGAGACGTTGTTGTGTTCTTAATGTCCCCAACTCAGGACTGTAGAGACAAAAATACAGTTTCAGATTTCTGTTTTTCTTCTCCCAAGTAACCTGCTACACACACACACACACACACACACACTTCTTATAATGTTTGTAATGGCAATAAGCCTGCGTTTTAGCTGCTACTGTGCAGCCTCTCTAGTCCAGATCCTTTCAGGAATTCCAACCAAATGAGAGGGTTTCGGTTTTTAACTCCATAGATCTCACTGAGTGTTTACTTATTCCATCTCCGGATGGGCCAGCATGGTGGTCAGTGGCAGACCTCCTTATTCCCATGTGAAAGCACCATCTAGAACTCGTGTGTCACAGGAAGTTCAAGGCAGGAAGGTAAAGAAATGTTGCTTCTACCATTTGCCACATTTGGGCTTTTTCCAAGGACAAGTGTCAAAAGCCGTAGTTAGTGTTTGGAGGGAGAGAGCAGAGCTGGCCAGCAGCACCCAGAGACATCTTTGAAGGAAACTTTCTTTTTCCTCTCGCTGGTTTCTCCTACAGTTTTACAGCTGAGCTTTTAAGGTTTGGGAAATTCAAGATGTGTGTTTCATAAGGAAGTGGGTAGACAGCAAGCACAAGCCAATTTTAGGCCTAAACTAAAACCACGAAGTTAGAAGCATTTGAACATTTTTGGTGCCATGTAGAGTGAATGTTTAGCATGCGTAGTCTCTATGACTTTAAGGAATGGGTTGACATTTTCCTATTGAATTTTGAGTAAATGGTGAGATTTCATTTTCTTGAGAGTTGACTCCTATGACTATACTTGAAGAATTGGTTTAAAAATATCTAAAAGCAAATATTCAACTTTTTCAAGACTGACACCCCCCGTCCCCATTTAGGCCTATTAACATTAAATAGTTCTGTCATCTGCCAAATGCACTTCAATTTGGTGCACAATGAACGTGTGCACTATTGGCAACTAACTGTAATTTACTTAGCTCTCTCTCTCTCTCTCTCTCTCTCTCTCTCTCTCTCTCTCTCTCTCTCTCCCCTTCTCTGTGTGTGTGTGTCTCTGAACACAAACTCCTCTGGAATAGCACCCCTTTGCTAATTGGATCTAGTTGGTATGGAAAAAGCCAGTGGAAAACCTTATCTTTAACAAGCTCCCAGATGGTGCACAGATTTGGAAACTCTAAAGAGCAGTGGTGACCTTTTAGCAAAGCTTCTGTAATAGTTTGAATGAGTTACAGAACATTCCACTCCATCAAATGACACTATAAACAAATCGCTTCAAGAGAGGTTTGACTTTGTGTGACACACATGGACCCAAGCTTTCATGCTGTGCACTGAGATAGAAACTCAACCCCAAGCACTGGTGTTTGATGGAGCAACATGCCCTGATGTTCAAAACTTATTAAAGGAGAAAGATGATCTGCATGGAAATTTTTAGGAAATTATAACCCCTAGTAGGTACAACAATTTGAAAGTGGATCACGAACATTTTTAAGTAGTATAACATTCCTCGTGAACAATTTTTATGTACAATTAGGTTAGAAGGAGAGAAAGCAGGTTCTGAAATGCTGTTGCCCCATCTAATGACTGAATTTGATAACTAAATTTCAGCTCTTCTCAAGGAGCCAGTAAAGCATTACTTGTGCAAGGAAAATATATGTTGAGTAAATGTACAACGAAAAAACAGACACATAGGTCTTTTCTTTTGAAAATGTGCATTTAAATGAAATTGATCTTAGTTAATTTTCCAAAATGCATAAACGTCTTCAGTCCTGTAAAAGAAACAGGGAACAAAGAGGGCGACAACATGTCTGGGCCTCCCTACGGTATAGCAAGCAATAAACATCCCCTTCCATTCTGGGTGCCTGTGATCTACACACCCACCCTTTGAGTTTGAAGCCTGCAGAGGGGTGTCTCCTTGAGCAGGAATTACTCTCATAATTACTTTCATGGAGGCTCTTGAGTCAACTCATGATAGGAAACTAATTACTTAGCCAGTTGGCATGGGAGGCAGGGGGAGATTACTCTCTCTTCATCAAGATCCAAGAGTTCTGGGGCAATTTATTACTTTCTCGTGTATAAGATAAAAGGCCTATCTCTGTCAGAGTCTATGTTGAATATACACTTATAAGAACAACTGTAAGCCAAGTGGAATGCTTCACAAGCAGTACATTTGGAGGGATCCAGGTCCCACTGGGCTGGCAATATAAGTGTGCATATATATAATGAGGTTGGTTAAGAGGGTGATTGTGGCCGAAACCGGTTTGGCTCAGTGGATAGAGCGTCAGCCTGCGGACTGAAGGGTCCCGGGTTCGATTCCGGTCAAGGGCATGTACCTGGGTTGCGGGCACATCCCCAGTGGGAGATGTGCAGGAGGCAGCTGATCGATGTTTCTCTCTCATCGATGTTTCTAACTTTCTATCTCTCTCCCTTCCTCTCTGTGAAAAATCAATAAAATATATTTAAAAAAAAAAAGAGGGTGATTGTGAATACTGAGAATTTTTCTTCTGCTGCTAGGTTAATAAGACCATGATTTTAATTCAATAGGGATTACTGAGTTTCCATAAGTATAGCAGAGCCAAAAATGTCCCTTTGGTTGATTTTGGGGGGAAAGAGAATTTCTAACAGAACTATAATGTTATGTACCCCAACCTTCCCATTTACACACACACACACACACACACACACTTACTTTTCCCTTACAGAGCAAGTAAGAGTAGAGAGATGAAAGGTAGAGAGATGGAAATCTGATTGGTTGATAGATAGATGGAAGGTGTTGTCCTAAAAATAATCTTCAGGGAAGCAGAAGATAAAGGATCCAGATGATATTTGTAAGAAAGATTATTTGCATAATGAAATGACATGGACACATGTCTAATCTTATCATGGGACTTCAGTATCATGGATACTTGGCTGGATTGCATTTCAGTAAGTTTTGATCAGAGAACCACAGGCTTCAGAATTTACTTGAAAGCTTGATAAAATGCAGATCCTTGAGTCCCACACCAGCATTCTACTGAATTAGAATAGTGAGAGAGAATAATCTACATTGTCATCAGCCTTCCCAGGGGATTCTAATCCATGTCATAATTTGAGAATAATTACTGGAGCTTTTGTTTTGATAGACCAGTTGGCTCTAATAACATAACAGAAGCTTTGTTCTGACTCTTTGTTTATAATTAAGAGTACTTATACTACTAAAGTAAAGTGAATTATTCCAACTTTTCCTACTCAGTTGGACATTTCACTCCTATTTTCCAGGTATCTTCATTTCCTACAATAAGGAATCTAATATTGAAGAATATTCACTTGAATATTCATTTGAATAAATTATTCCTTCTCGAATGCTTCTCTGTATTCTTTCCTACAAAATGTTCATTTTCCTTTCATCACTTTGTTCCATTGAACATGGTGTCTTGTTTCTTTATTTTTCTTCTACCCCTTTAAAAAACCTTCAACCTTTGATTATTTATTTATTCCAACAACAGCTCTTGGATAGGGTGAGTCTTAAGAGTTCTTCAAATATGCAATGCTCCTCTCTATTTTTTCTTCAGAGACAGCAAATATAAGTGGGTTACTCTGACCTAAAGCTCTGATGATAAAACCTAACTCTTAAATATATCTTTTATTTACAGCAATGATAACAATTGTATTTTGAGCTTATCTAGTGATTTCTTGGCCATTTTACTTGTCTCAGTAAGAACAACATATTTGAAGTCTGTTGTCTCAGGCCCTTTGCAGCTGTGTATTGTTTAGGAAATTAAAAGGCATCTGTATTTTAAATGTTTCTAAGCAATTTTTGTGGAATGTTGTCTTACAGTGTTGGGGTGTGTGTGTGTGTGTGTGTGTGTGTGTGTGTATGCGCGCGCGCGCGTGTGTGCACATGTTTCACTGAAACATTTGAGGTAACCAATTTCATTTCATTCTGTCTGTGAAATGTTAGTTTATTTAATAAACAAAATACCAAAATTGATGATATAAAAATAATTGGTGGTTTTATGTTAATTTAGTGGGTTGTTCTTTAAAAAAAAAAAACAGACTGAAGTAGAAATTTGCATTTAAGAATTTCAGTGAGGAAAATTGGCAAGAGTGGCTGGTGCTAGCTTGCATTTTGTCACAAGAACCAATTGTACTCATCTCTTTCCAATTCTGCATTCAATGACATCACACTGGTAGCTTAAAATTGGCCATGCTGCAAATATTTACACCATGGAAATTGGCAAACACTACTAATTAGGGATCTGAAGAGCCAGATGTTAAACATTTACCAGCACACCACTGAGATCACATACAGTGGGACAATATCTAGGTTGGAGAGAGTGAACAGGATTGGAAAAATAAGAAGTCAAACTGTGATGCTATAACAAAGGCCTTAGTTAATTCCATGGGAGCTGTGCGACTGACATGGTTGTTTAGAGTTATTGCGAAATTGCAAAATGAGAGAGCCAGGAGCTTTATGTGTGCTGTTCTTCCCCACCATCAACTAGTAACAGGATGCAAGCTAGGTGTGGGGAAGGAAACCACCTTGGGCAAGACTATTCAGTCGAAGGAAATTCTTGTAGAGGAATTCAGCTTTGAACTGAAGCAGTCCAACTGTTTAAAAAAATATTTCTAGTCCATCCACTTAAAAAATAGTTTTATAATGGGAATTTTTAAACATACAGTAACATAGAGAATAGTATAATGAGCCAACATGCACCTATCACCAGCTTCAAATATTATCAATTCATAGCCAGTTCTCTTCACCTACTTCCCCCACCCATTTCACTCCCATTTCCACCAGATAACTTGGAAGCAAGTTCCAGATATAATAAGATTCCATCAGTAGATATTACACTGAATCTATCTAAAAAGTAGAGATGTCTTAACTTGTTCCTTAATTGGTTTCCACTTTGTTACAAAATAAGTTTTCAGGATAACAAAGGCATCAAAAAGAGTCAAATGTTAATCTTTTCTTTCTCTATCTTACACCCTGCATATGAATTTTAGGGATCAAGACTAAGAATTCTTTCTAAAGTAGGTATGTAGTATCTTAAAAAAATAACAAATTATTTTTGGACACTTATCTTGTGCCAGATGCTGTACTAAGAACTCTGACACCCACTACCTTCTGGAGACTCTTGGAGCGATTACTAAGGGACTCATCTTGGAAGGCAACAGTGTTGATGTTGTCTTGGGATTAGCAGAGTCTAAAGAGGACTTCCAAGACTCTGACAGACGATTGCTTTTTTTCTGAGAATATCCTCTCTCCCTTTATCAAAGCCAATTTCTTAAAAAAGTTATTTTAGCTAACTTTATACATTAGCAATGGTAATTCCAGCAGGAATAAGAGAACACGTGAAACCAGCTTACCCATTTGGAAAAGTTTGATGCCTGTGACAGTTAGGGTATAAGGGAAAGTGTGTTACCCTCATTCTCATTGCATCTCCTCAAATGAGAGGCTACCATCTGATGGTTGACAGCAACTGCTCTGAAAAGTTATCACTGATACAAATCAATAAAGTATCCAACATCAGGAGGTCAGAGTAGAAGCAAGAGGGGATTTTTTTTTTTGATTTTTTTTTTTTGCTGTGGCATGAAACAGTGTTCCCTTTTATTCAGCCCAGATGCTAATTTTTATATCAAAAATATTGATTGAAGGAACTAGTGATTTTGGCTCTGATCCAAGTTTATTCAGGATCTTTCTTAATTAGGTTTGGGTCGGCTGCAATGCCCACGGCCAGGGTTAGGTCTGGCTCCAATCACCACATCATGCTCTCTACTTCATCCCCGTCCAAGGAATAAGGCAAGGAAATTGCTGCTGCTTTGTTTCTCCAGCCCGTAAGTATGTTTTTTTCCAGATCTGAAGCATGCATGGAGCAAATGTGTAAGGAAGACCGAAGGAAGTGTAATGGCTTCACTGTGATGAGATCAATCCAGCCTCAACCTGGCTGATCCCTACATGAATCAGGCTCTGTGTGAAAAATGAATGGGTAGCAATGTGAGGTCATGGAAAAAGATCTTGGCATCTTTTGAATGAAAATTTTTCACCAGTCTGAGGCAGCCAATCAGTCTATGAGTTTTTCAAAAGGGAAAAAGAATCCCTCTTGCCAATAATACATGATTTCCCCATAATTTATCTATTTTGTGAATAATTATAAAGTCATGCAACTATTTTAATAATGTCTATACCAACTACATCAACTTTATACCAGTCTTTGAAAAAAATCTCTGCACACTTAAGGCATCAATAAGTTACAGTCACACAGTATAGACACCTGGGACAAAATGGGTTTTCTTTTATATATAAAACTAGAGGCCCATTCCCGCTTCATCCGGAAGTTCCTCTGGAAGGATGTCCTGTCTAATTAGCATACTATGCTTTTATTATTATAGATAGTGTCTTAACATTAAAAAAATGTTAGTTACTCTAAAACATTTTCAACTAAATAATTATGAAGAGTTTTTAATTCAAAAAAAAACTTAGATAAAACTTCAAAATGTGTATTTGTAAGATATTTTGTTAATAAGTCAACTCTGGAACAACCAAATATTAATGATTTCTATATAGGTAAGCCTGTAAGTCCTATAGATAGTAATTATTACAGACACATTATATTAAAAATTAAAATACTTTATTAAAGTGGGTTCATTTCTAATGAGGTTAACACTAACTCTGTTTAAAATTACATTTTAACTGTGCATTTATTATTTATAGTAGCCAAGTAGAGCAGAAACAAGCCAGCTATTCAAATTAATCATCATGGAGCTCAATTGTGAGTAAGAATGAAAGATCAGGAATTATCAGATATTTGAGGAAAACCAACAACACCAAAATGAGTGGCCAAGATTAAAAAATAGAAAAGCTTTCACCAACAGAAGCAGATAATCATAGAAAAGAAAACTTCTTAAATATTTTAATTATTATTCTTGTTGGTCAACCTGATTGTATGAAGGTATGACATCTATAAAACAAGAATAGGTTGATATGAAAAGAAACCAGAGAGTTCATTAAATTTAAATATATCATGTTTAAATGTTTGATGAAAATAAATCAATATAAAGCAACGATTAAAAACATGACAGAAAATTCAAGAGATGTGGAAGATACAAGCAGGAGGACCATTATTCATCTAATAAAAATGTGAGGAACAAAAGATTCAGGAAAAGTGAAGACAGGGAAAAACAAAAACAAAGAAATAATAGAAGTATTATTTCCTTGAAGCTAAAACAGAACGGAAGGTGGAAATGATCCAGTGCCTACTAATAAAAATAGATTTTATTTTTTTAATTATTTTTCAATTACAGTTAACATTCAATATTGGTTTCAGGGGTACAGATTAGTGGTTAGACATTTATATAACTTACCAAATGATCCCCCCATAAGTCTAGTACCTATCTGACATCATACATAATTCTTATAATATTATTGACTATATTCCCTGTGCTGTACTTTACTTCCCCATGACTATTTTGTAAGGGCTGATTTGTACGGAATCCCTTCACCTAAAAATAGATTTTCACCTAAATGCATCTTTCTGAAACTTTGTTACACCAAGGATAAAGAGAAGAACTAAAAAGTTCCCAGCGGGAAAAGAACGAAACAATCTCACCTACAAAGGTAAAAGTAACAAATTTTATTTCTTAATATTGTAAATGTGTTCTCCATCAAGTTCATTCCAATTTTCACACCCTTCAGCAGTGTATAAAAATATTCATTTCCCCAATCTGTGCCAATGCTGAGTATTACCATTTTTATAATCTTTATCAATCTGATGGAAAAGAAAATGTTTTTTTAAAAAAATATTGTCGAAAGTATTACATATGTCCCCCTTTTTCCCCCATTGACCCCTTCTAGCCTGCCCCCATCCCCTAGACTAGGCCTTCACTACACTATTATTTATGTCCATGGGTTATGTATATATGCATACAAGTTCTTTGGTTGATCTCTTCCCACCCACCCACCCTCCTTCCTCCACCTTCCCTCTGAGATTTGACAGTCTGTTTCATTTTGTTAATCAGATTATTTTATCCATTAGATTCCACATATGAGTGAGATCATGTGATACTTGTCTTTCTCTGACTGGCTTATTTCACTTAGCATAATACTCCCAGGTTTCTTCATGATGTCTCAAAGGGTAAGAGATTCTTCTTTTTTACTGCTGCATAGTATTCCATGGTGTAGATGTACCACAGCTTTCTTATCTACTGATGGGCATTAGGACTGTTTCCAGATCTTAGCTATTGAAAATTGTGTTGCTATGAACATAGGAGAGCATAAATCTTTCTGATTGGTGTTTCAGGTTTCTTATAATATATTCCTAGAAGTGGGACCAAGAAAATGGGTTTTAATTAATGTCTGCTTCCCATTTACTAGTGATGTATTTCTGTTATGTGTTCATTGGCTATTGTATTGGCCTTTTGCACATTTTTTGTTTGTATTCCCTGCTACTTATTTTTCTATCATGAATGTCTAATTAGCATTACTGGATACTGAAAGCAATGCCTTCAAATTCAGAGAGAAAATAGTTTTGAATCTAAAATCTTATATTCAGAAAAATTTATCTAATCGAGGGAGGGTGAAATTGGGACTTGTTTTTTACAGGAAAGGTTCAGAAAGCTTATTTTCTCAGTACCCTCTCTTTAAAAAATTACTGACCTCCCTGGCTGGTGTGGCTCATTTGGTTGGAGTGTCCTTCATCCCAAGCACCAGAGAGCTTCAGTTCAATTCCCCATCAGGGCACATATCTGTGTTGAGGCTTCGACTCCTGGTCGCATGTATGGCTCTCTCTCTCTCTCTCTTT